AATTAGTAGAATTTATTTAAAAAAAATTTCATCAAATTCAATTAGATAGTTGTTGAAAAATTTTCATTCAAAGTTTGGAAAATTTTTCAACATCTCAAGAAAATGACTATAGCAGAAATTTTTCCAAACTTTAAACGAAACTTTCTCGACAACTGCTCAATAGAATTCGATGAAACTTTTTTTAAATCAATTCTACAAATTAGTAGAACTCATTTAAAAAAAATTTATCAAATTTTATTGAATAGTTGTTGAGAAACTTTCATTCAAAGTTTGGGAAAGTTTTCAACACCTCTTAATAGCTATGGCAGAAATTTTTCTAAACTTTGAATAAAAAGTTCTCAATAACCACTTGATAGAATTTGATGAAAATTTTTTTAATAAATTCTACTAATCTGTATAATTTATTTTAAAAAATTTTCATCAAATTCTATTGAACAGTTGTCAAGAAATTTTTGTTTAAAGTTTGGAAAAATTTCTGCTGTGGCCATTTTCTCGAGCGTTGAAAAATTTTCCAAACTTTGAACAAAAATTTCTCAACAACTATCTAAGGCCACACAAAATTATACACTTGGTTTTCATATCATGGGATGGTGATCAGTGACCTGGCCGCATGGCTTTTTTTTTTTTATAAAAAAATTTTTTTTAAATAAATAAGAATAAAAAAATATTATCAAAGTTTATTTATATGTGATTTAACATTAGGCCATATAAACTCAACAACCTTCTGTAGCCCAGATTTTAATTTTTTTTATTAATTTTTTTTAATATAAATTTTCATTTATGAATGTTTTATTGTATGTACAAATCATTCGATTACATTAGATGGTGAGTAAAAAAGATTATTTATTAATCAGTGGGAATTAAATTTAGCAAAACAAGTTCAAATTATTTACCGTTATTTGTATTACAAGCAGATTATTTCATTCACATTAATTTAGCGACGAGTATAAAGATGATTATTAATTAGTGAAATTAAAATCGACAAATGAGTTTACAATTCGTTATAAATACTTATTTTACAATTATATTAATAACTTAGCTGGTAAGTATAAAATTATTTATTTTTTTGATAGCCTTTTATTGTTAGGTTTCTTAACATTGCGATTAAGAAAGATGGTATTATATTAGTCAACATTAAAGGAGTTCTGCCCAGTCCCATCCATCGTATAGTGAATGACTTGTCAGATAAATTGGTGCTAAGACCGATTTTTGTTGAGTTAAATGGTGAAGTATACGATATTAAGTTCCGCGGCTGCAGTGGCAGTGAAAGAACCATACATAGCAGTGCAAGTAGGGATATTAGTCGGGTTAAAATTATCGACTGACTAAGCCAATTCTAATAAAAATTGGCTAAGTATTAAATCAGGTGAATACTATTATTTTATCGTTACATTCGTACTAGCATAGTGATGGATCCGTAAATAACCACAGCTACTTAATCAAAAAGAATCTCCTGTTATATGAAATTCGTGAATATTCAATAAATGCTGATTGCACGAAATTCGAGGATTAGATCATGAATAATCTAATATATTAGTCATTTTTGTATAGCCGACTAAGCTGACTTTTTGAACATTCGACCGACTTAGTTGGCTAAGTCAACTAAGTCGACTAAAGTCAAATCGACTACTATCCCTAAGTGCAAGGACAGGTAGGCTCCCTATCATTTCCCCGACATTATTTTCCTTGACAAACACTTCCTGGAAAAAAATTTCACTGACAATCATTTACCAGATATATATTTCTACGATGATTGCGGGGAATGAAATGTCGAAAAAATAAATGTGTCAGGAATTTGCTGTTGGAGAAATGATTGTCAGTAAAATTTTTTCGGGTAAGTGTTTGTTGGGAAAATGATAGAGAACCACATAAGTGCTTTCTTGGCAACCTTAAAAGGCTTGATTGACTGACCTATAACTGATGATGAATTTTTAAGATATTGAATTTTAGAGGTGTTTTGAATTTATCTTATAAGTATCTATAGCTAAAAGCTACTTCTGAATAATTGTAATTAATGACTTGCAAAAAAAATATATTATTTCAAAATTTAGCAATTTGCTTATAGTTGATCGTAATCGTTTGTAGCTGAAACCATCCCTAAGTGAGATCTAATGATACATTGGACTCGAACCCAGTGGTGCTCATTTCGCCAACAATCACTTTACTGTCAGCTCAGTTCACCGACAATTAATTCACCAACATTATTCATTGACAGTTTATTTCACCAACAGCTCATTTCACCTACAAAGTAATTCTGGTTATTGTAGTTAGAGTCAGACTAGAATTAGTGTAATTTATATATATATTTAAAAAAAAAAAAGAAAAACTTGCCAGTGAAAATGTGCTGTCGATGAAATGAACATGTTGGTCAATTAATTGTTAGTAAACTAATTTTGTCTGTAAATTTTTAATTGTCTGTAAATTAATTGTCAGTAAACTAAGCTATCGGTAAAGTGATCGTCAGTGGGTAGTTGAGCTATCCAGTTAGTTGGAATTAGTAATGACTTATAGGAAGTTAGCATTTTAACGTAGAAAGATGGGCCTGTAATAATAGTGAACATATTCCCATATGTTTTTCAATCAAGTCATCTGATTGGGCAATAATAATTCAAGATTATTTAAATACTTGCTATTAAGTACAGCTACATTAATTTAGCGGTGAGCATAAAGGTTATTTATTAATTGGTGAAATTAAAATCGATAACAAGTTCACAATTCAAATTCATAAATGCATGTTAAATCATTTATTTTATCCAGTGAGTATATGATAGAAGATTATTTATTAATAAGTGGAATTAAAGTCGGCAAACAAGTTCACAAATCAAGCTCATAGATATACTTACTTACCACTATGTAAATCATTTATTCGCATTGACTTAGCTGGTAAGTAAAAAGATTATTTATTATTCAGTGGAACTAATTTGAAAAAAAGCCGATCATAAATACCTTACTACTACATGTAAAAATCACATTGATTTGGCCGGTGAATAAAAAGACTGGATAATTAAAATCGGCAAAGTCGCAATTTAAGTTCATTTATGCTAATTTGGTTGTGTCAATTATTAATTGGCTACAAAACAAGTTTACTTCTCTTACATTAGCTTAGCTGATGCATATAATAATAAATTTTGCTTTAGCATAGATTATCTGTGGAGAACGTTTATTGGCTGATATACTAAAAAAAAAAAAATTTTAGTTTCCCACCCCACTGACCCGGCCGGGTTATGAAAACCAATTATATAAGTTTGTATGGCCTAATTGAATTTGATGAAATTTTTTTTAAATAAATTCTACTAATTCACAGAATCTATTCAAAAAAATTTTCATGAATTCTATTGAATAGTTGTCGAGAAAATTTGTCTAAAATTAAGAAAAATTCTACTTCGATAGTTTGATCGTCGGTACGTGCAAAAATCACGTGACCTGTACGACTTTCCGAAGATCCGATCCTGATATCAATTGCCCGTGACGTAACCAAGATCATCGTTAAGAATCTTAACGATCGAAAATCGAACATTAAATTACCGATCGACATAGGTAATCGTGACCACGTGACACGTGACCCCGAAAAAAGCAAGAATTCGAAATAGAAGTGTTAGTAATAATATTCTCGAGACATCAAAGACATATTATAAGTCTAAGCCATAAGAAGACTTATCTGAACCCGGCAACATCACCATAAGGCCCTACAAAGCTCTAGAACTCGGACCAAGTCTTTCCACGCCTCATTTCGAAGCCTACCACTCTAGGGTTTCGGTCTTATTCTATAGTGGATTTAGAGGATTTGTTTGATTGTATAGAGTTGTGTGATAGTCCGATAGTTAGTTTTAATGTATTCTCCGGTAGTCTGCAGCCTTTCAACATACATACATTGTTTTCAGATCTTCAATTATAAAATTTCTGTAATTGACTTTTCAAACCCTAAATATACAAGCCGGGTCAAGCCAATAAACATCTTCGGCATTAAAGATAAATGCTAATGGCTTATTTGGGATCTTTGCTAGGAAAATCACCCTTCGGGGTTTTCCGATCGGGCTAATTCGGAAAGGTTTAGACCAGAATGCCAGTTCTTATTCATATGTAAATCACCTTTTGCTATATTTATTCGATAGTTTATTAAATAAACTGTCGAATCAGTAAAGTAAAAAGATGGTTTACATATGAATAAGAACCGACATTCTGGTCTAAAATTTTCCGAATTAGCCCGATCGGAAAATCCCGAAGGGTGATTTTCCTAGTAGAGAACTAATTAGTTTCACCAGTTTCACCAGTTTTACCTGGTGCACCATCGGTGCACCGTTGAAGATTAGCTTCATCTATAACCCTAGCTTTATCATCGGTGCACCAGTTTCACCAGTTTCGCCTGGTGCACCATTGAAGATTAGTTTCACCTGCAACTCTATTTCCTAGCAAAGATCCCATTTGCTATTTATAATTTCTGTAATTGGCTTTTTAAACCTAAATATACGCACAAATCAATAAACATCTTCAGTATTAAATATAAATAAAAAGCCTAGCCTCATTAATGATTTATCGACGGGTTAAATATCTAAAATTAAGGGATAATTTTATTATTTTATTGATAGCTTCATCAAAACCAAAATTTCAGTAGTAATTTTTTAGCGAATTCACTATTATCATAAAGATTCATCAATCGGTTTTTTTTTTTTTTTTTTTTTTAGCGAGAGCGCAAGGGTTTTTTTTTTAGCGGGAGCACTAGAGTTTCGTCTTTCGTCAGCAGGATTTGAGGTTTCGTCTTTCGTCAGGGGTTTCATCATTTTGGGCTTAGGTTTCGTCTTTCATCACCAAGCAAAAAAGGTTTCGTCTAACAACTATAACTAGCTATGATAAATCAAAATGATTCAAGCACTACTGACGACCCATTAAACCTTGGCTTAAATCCTGTTTTAAAAAGTGCATATTTTATAAGCCAAAATAGCCAAGATGTAGAAATTCCTCTTGATGGTATTTATCAAGCCTCTTCCAAAATCTATAACCTGATGAAAGTCAAAAAATATTCCACTTCAAATTGGAAAAAACATGACCTTCATCCAAAAACAGCTGATGAGAAAACAATAGAATGGATATTCTTAGTCGACTTGTTAAATTTCAGCTTCTGGTCAGACTTAGATAAAGATACTGACATTTCAGAAAACCAAAAATTTAGTATAACCTTTAAAAACCAACAATATACGGGTTACTGGTCATTATGCGCGGCAATTAATCGTTCAATCGAAGAAGGAATTCCAATCACAACACCATCATTTTACGGCTCGGAAACTGCCTTATCAGACCAAGTCATACAACACATATTTCGTTCTTCATCACCAAACTCTCAAATACCGTTATTAAAAGAACGAATCGAGTGCATTCGAGAAGCTGGAAAAGTATTAACCACAAAGTTTGATGGAAGTTTTATTAATTGTATCAAAACGTCAAATAAATCTTGCATAAATCTATTGAAGATTATCGTTGATAATTTTCCATGTTTTAGAGATGAGACAATGTTCCTTGGTAAGAAGGTGTATTTATATAAAAGAGCACAAATTTTAATTGCGGATATTTGGGCATGTTTTGAAGGCAAGGGATACGGAGAGTTTAAGGACATTGATGAGATTACAATGTTTGCAGATTATCGAGTTCCTCAAGCGCTGCACCATCTAGGTGCCATAAAATACTCTGATAATTTGATAAAGACGTTGGAGCGGCACGAGTTATTAGAATATGGATCTAGGTTAGAAGTTGAGATTCGGGGATGCAGCATTTGGGCTGTGGAACTTTTAAGAAGAGAGATTAAACGGATGGCTGAGCGAGAGAATGGACAAGATATGATACCAGTGCTGAATGCAATCATTTTGGATTTTTTTATTTGGGATTTTGCTAAAGAACATACTAATGAATTGGAAGTTGAAATTCATCGAACACGTAGTATTTATTATTAAAAATATGTGAATGATACTGTAAAGCTCGATTTGATCCAAAATTTAAATCGATAATTCCATACAAAATCAACTATTTCAACCCAACCGAGTTTAATAATTTTTTTTTTTGTCTAAAAGAATATTGAAAACATACCCGGAAATGTTTATAATACTATTCTTCAAATCTGCATGGGAAACAATTAATTAAATTTTGTATGACTTAGTTGTCAATTTGACAAGCTAACAGAGTAGATCAATCGATTTTCTATAACGATACCGATACATTTTATTAGACAAATGTCAATCTATATCGATATTGCTGAT